AAACAGTATAGTTGAAAAGAGGTTGAGGAGGCAGGGTCTAGATTAAGAGTGAATGTCAGTAAAAATCGAACATATGAGACATTTCGCGGCCACGACTGAAAAATCGATTTTGCTCAAATTTTGCCCAGATATACCTTATTATATCGGAAAATGCACCATATATTTTTTTAGGTCAAATACTTTTTTAACTTTGAGAAAATGCCGTTTTAACACGACCACCCTAAATCGCCATTTTTTCTGAGAAAATATGCGCTGATTTTACAGATAAATTTCACGACGACAACCGTTTCTAATCGATCTAAAACCCTAAAAATCTTGTTTTCGGTTATTCAAAGGACTGTGTACATGACTTACAGGAAATCTGAGTTACTTTTAGGAATAGAAATAAGCGTAGTTTTGGAGCACACTATCTTACTTCATTTACGATACCCTCTTAACAAAATCGATTTTCACCATGCGATAAAGCTCCAAATCGATCATGCTTCTACTAGTTGGCTCTTTAATAAGCAAGCTTTCAATTGACGTAAATACTTCTTTTGGCAAATGAATACGCGATAAACGACAGCGCGTTGAAATCGTCCGTTTTTGACGTCTTGCAAGTCAAACGCTGTTAATTTACATACCGTCGAAGTAAACAATTTAATCAAGTATTTTAAGTATTTTACCTTTTGAGAAGAAGATATATTCTTGAATGGAGACTTTTTACCTTGCTTAGTTTAAAATTGGTCCAAAAATCCCGAGATATTTGTAAAATATCATCATATACAGGTATTTTGAAATATAATATTGTTGTCAGTTGCGTGACAACTTCAGATCATTGTTCAATATTGTCTACTTTTAATAGCGCAAACATACAAATCGATGAGCTGTTTAGTGATTTTATATTTGTTACTAAATTTCCCAAAATTAGAACTTCAATTGACAATTGTTGTTTTGTTCCAGTTTGCATTGATCCATATAATGTACCATTTAGTATTTACATATCGACTATCGAGTAATAAATGTTTACGAATACATAAGTTAATTATTAAGCAGCTGTTAATAGCGTGCGTGTGAAATGAACATTTATCCATACAAGGATTTGTTATTTTATTATATATTCTACCACCTCAAACTCAAATTATAGGCATATAGCAAATACTGTAGTTTAGAATAATGTGTGTTTACTTTGATGCACATGAGTTAAAATAATCAGTAAAATTACTTTATTTTGATACACTAATGTCTATTGATCTTATTATATTTCACAAGTACTAGTACCCAGAAATACAGCATTGAGTATTTTGGCCCAGTGCGACATCACAAATTATTATTGTCTCCCCATACGTCGCGTTTAAAGAAAATGAAAGCTTGTTGCTCGTTTAACGCCGGATTAACCACGTGCCAAATACGGCAAATGCCGTGGGCCTTGCGCTTTACTGTGCTACGCCCATTTTTACGAGAACACAGCCATTTTCTATTGAGATACACCCATTTTAGGTGCCTCGCGAATTTAGGGACCTCGCGCATTTAGGGCCCCTAGGCTTGGCAGTTCGCCCTAGCACGGCCCCGGGAAAATATGCGATACTCGTGTTCATATAATCTTTAGTTGCGTTGAGCTGTTGTATTATATCCTGTTTATACCCACCAACTGCGCCAGGCAGGCCATTATGTCGTTTATAATTGATGCAAATAAATTGAAATATTGAAAAAAATTATTTAACACTTTTCTGTGTCTTTAAATTCAATGGTTTTCATAAAAAGAAGAAAGGGGGAGGTTTGGGGGCCTCGCGCTAAAATTTGCCACGGGCCTCGCGCGACGTTAATCCGACCCTGGTCACTTGTTGGTAGTTCTTGCGGTTTTAATGCCAATTGACAAAGATCAAAAGAGAGCACTGATGACTCCCCCCGTCGGAGAAATACTGGCGCAGCCCAAACCAGCTCTGTGAAATATGGGGCCCCAGGGCCAATTATACCCTTGGGGCCCCGGTGAACCACAATTACCCCCCCTTCGTCGACAAACTTTTTATCGCCTTGCAAATTTGTATTTGCCTGTCTTCATTGAGCTGGGGTCGCGGAGAAAATTGCTCCTTTTGCCGCCTCCCTGCATGGGCGGCCCTGGCGCCGCCCTTGTCTTATCATAACTATCTACCCTAATTCAAGCTGATTGGCGCGGCTCGATGAATTAATTGCCGCGTTCAAACAGAGGTTTATTATTTTAAACCTCTAGAACCAGAGTACCTTTTGTCACTCTGAGGCCAGCGAAATAACCTCTTCCGCAACATGCACGTACGCGTCTACTATCGTCAAGAAACAATCAATACGTATAATCGTTGTGGTCTGTAGGATTTTAATTCAATAGTGTAAACCTTGCAGTTTTAAGGAAGCCTCACATATCGATTTTTCTACAAGAAACGTCATATGTTCGTTTTGGGGGTGGGGGAGGGGGGTTTACAGCTGTGACGTTTCTCTGTAAATATCATGGAAAAGTTCGATAGTTTTTTCGAATACCTTAACATTTCGGAATCAACTTTGCAGAGTATAAAAAAGAAAACAACTTGAAAGAAAACGACTATTCAAATATAAGGGCTGGTAAACTAAAAATAAAAATCCTTATATGGATAAACATTATAAACGTTCATCTCACATGTACACGCACGCTAACAGCTGCTTAATAATTAACTTACGTATTTGTAAACATCAGTCGATAAATAAAATGGTACATTAATATGGACAAAATGGATCAAAACCTCTGAAAACAGCAGTTGTAGTTCCAATTCTTTTGGGGAATTTAGTAGCAAATATAATCCTTAAATAGCTCATCGATTTGTATATGTTAGCGCTAAAGTCAAACGGCCGGGTCGTAGATCACGTTGAATAATGATCTGAAGTTAATATCATGCAACCGTCAACAATGTCTCAAAATACTGGATGTTTGATGATTTTTTTACAAATATACTGGGATTTCTGGACCACTTTTAAACTTAGCAAAGTGAAAAGTCCCCATTCAAGAATATTTTTTTTCTCAAAAGGTAAAATACTTAGAATACTTGATTAAATTGTTTACTTCGACGGTGTATAAATTAACAGCGTTTGACTTGCAAGATGTCAAAAACGGAAGATTTCAACGCGCTGTCGTTTATCGCGTATTCATTTGCCAAAATAAGTATTTACGTCAATTGAAAGCTTGTTTATTAAAGAGCCAACTAGTAGAAGCATGATCGATTTGGAGCTTTATCGCATGGTGAAAATCGATTTTGTTAAGAGGGTATCGCAAATGAAGTAAGATAGTGTGCTCCAAAACTACGATTATTTCTATTCCTAAGAGTAACTCAGATTTCCTGTAAGTCATGTACACAGTCCTTTGAATAACCGAAAACAAGATTTTTAGGGTTCTAGATCGATTAGAAACGGTTGTCGTCGTGAAATTTATCTGTAAAATCAGCGCATATTTTCCCAGACAAAATGGCGATTTAGGGTGGTCATGTTAAAACGGCATTTTCTCAAAGTTAAAAAAGCATTTGACCTAAAAAAATATATGGTGCATTTTCCGATATAATAAGGTATATCTGGGCAAAATTTGAGCAAAATCGATTTTTCAGTCGTGGCCGCTTTATGTTTGATTTTTGTGGACATCCTCTCTTAAGCCAATAGGGCATTTAAAACTCAGAACAAATATTTTGAAAAAATCTCCTTATTTTTGACACAAAAGAATTTGGTATTTCAATTACCTTTTTGGCGTTGATCTGTTTTAGCATTTTATGTGAGATGTTCAAATGATGATTGTGAGAACCAGTTGCTGCTCGATGGTGAAGAAATTGGAGTTATCAACATGAAACGCTATCTGATTGCTCACGAAGTGCTTAGGGACTACATGTACCAATTTTTGTTTGCAAGGTTAGTCAGACCTACTATATTTTTAATGATGTTGTTAAGAGCCCTTTTTAAGTACATGAATCTGCATTACCTGAGAAAATTGAATGAATGTAAAACATGTGGGATTGTAATATTGCTCTATAACAACCTTTATGATCCTGATTACTTTGCATTTGTTTAGTTGTAGTTTGTACGCATATTTCGAAGTGTGGACCTCTCGAATGCAAGACGCTGATCCAACTATCTGTGAATACCCGTCGTACAACCAACTGCGTTTTGTTTGGTATTCCTACCTGGAGTTGTTGGCTGAGAATGTGGTTGTAAAGCTGTTGCCCAGAATGTGGTTGTAATCCCGAAACAGTTGTGTGTGATGTCACTACAGTTTCATTTCGACGTAAGATGGTGCTGCAAGAGAGTATTGTTAACTCAACTTCTGAGAACACATATCAAGGAAGATAAGTATTTTATTCTTTATTCACAGCGAGTTGCAATTAGATTTTTCTGTCTGGTTGAGTTTTAAACGAAAATGCTTGGTTAAGAAAGAATGTTTGTTGGCTTTGTATATTAAACACCAAACAGGATAATTTAGTGCTTTCAGTTGAAGATAATAATAAGCATATTCCACTTTTTTAGTAAGTCATCAAATACATCTATGCATGAATTGCATGTGTGACATCATGCAATTTTTTTTTGCATCTAAACAAATTTAGATACCTCGAAAACGGAACAAATTGCTAAAAATCTGAAGAGACACTATGATTTTAAAGGTTTTTTGTCGACGTTAGGGGCACTTTAAAATAAGAACACTGTATGCAAAGTTCCAACAGTCTCTTGATTTAGAAGTTACAGTATGCTTATTCATGTAGAAAAATTTGAATTCTCGTTTTATATATATAGTTACAATTAAAAGCCGTATAATGATACAAACTAAGGCATGCCGAACTCTCCTGCATCAATTTATTTCAGGTGCCCAGTTTTCTACAGCTCAGATGGAAAGCCTTCGTGAGATGTTACTTTCGTCTTGTCCATCTATTATTCCGTTTTTGGATTGGCTGACGTGCGCGTGCGACGATGTTACTGACATTCCACGTTCGATTAGCTGCATGTTCGGCTGTATGTGGTTTTGTTCATCCATCGGAGTTACTTCACACATTGTTGAACGAGGTCGTTGGGGGACTCATTATATCGCAGCATCCAAGCAAGTTAAAACTACTACAAGAAGAATGCCCACTGTTGTTCAATTCATTTTTTGATATCCAAGAATCGACATTTCCTACAAGCTGGCATCCTGTTTTAACTGATTTGGTTAAGAAATCGTCCGAGCCATTTTCCACTCCAATGTCTTCACCACCATCTTCTGCACCAGCAGTTTCCCAAGACATTGCATTGAATACATAGGTAGATGTATTATCACATTTGCTAATATCAACCTACAAATAACAATGTTCAAATGTTAGCTGGGTATGTTTTTCAGAGATATAAAATTCCTATTTACAAGCAAAATTCATAAAATTCCTATTCGCAAGCAAATATTCTATTTATGTCTGTCATCTTGCGCGAGTAAACTATACTATTTCCTGACATGTCGCACTATAGCTGTGTTGCATTTCCGCAGCTCGTTACTGGGCACTTGTTTTGCCGTATTAATTAAAATTGAAAGAGCCAAACGCTAGTTTGGGATATTTTGAGCTAGGGGTTACAATTACCCCTAGCCATTTGAAATTACTTACTATTTATTAACTTTGACATGGTCAAGAGTTGGATGCTGTACTCCACCACTAAATCAGTCAAAAGACAAGCACCATGTAATTGCTACCATCAACATATGAATCCTGTCTGCTTAGTAGATCTACCACCTCATTGAAAGTCACCAGATAAGATGAGTGATATTGATGAGACAGAGGTTTTATACCCACGTTTTTAGAAGAACAGGAAACAGTGCTTTTAATGTGCCTACCCCTATCTAAACCTCCTGTATAAAATATTATCTAGAGTCATAAAATATTAAAATTATTTATACCTATTTATATATTTACATGTTAACTTCTTAACTTATTTATTTTTAAAATTATGATTTTACATTGTGAGTGCACCGGAACTCGGTTCCGGCTGGTTAGTTCCTGCCGGAACTCCGATTTTTCAGAGTTCCAGCCAGAACTAATAAAAAAAGCATGCATGACCGGAACTGGAAGTCTGTCGCTTTCAGAGAGATAGAATATCATACGTTTTTGTGTCAAACATTACATTTGCAATTTTGTGAACCTGTCTGGCAGCAGACAAAGTAACATCAGATATGACTATATATGGCTTAATAATTCAGTTCCGGCCAGATTACTTTTTTGCAGTTCCGGTCGGAACTTTAAAAATTGGTTCCGGTGCACCCCTAATTTACATATTACCACAGCATGGCTTCATGTCAATAATATATACTATGGTGTAATGTGAAATAATGTAAAACGGATAAAGTATGAATAAAGTTTGAAATATGCCTTATTATTGCTTTACTGGGCAGTCTGCATTATGAGATGCAATGAGTATTCTCCAAATGGCTTGCCAATATTAATACTATTTCCAATGTGGGCAATGATTGAGCAATGTCTGCAGGTTGTGGTGTTTCAGTTCACATTGTGATGCTGTTTAGTTGTATGTCTCAGATTCAACATTTACAGGCTTGTGTGTATTGGTAAAACGATCTTTTCTGTTGTCAATTACAAGCTCAGCCAAACTGTCACTTATAGACATGCCAAAATATGATGAGATTCAGTCTCTTTCAAGGAAACAAATCTTTTTCTATAGGAATTGCATACCCTTGACCTTTAAGTCGACTGTCTGGAAGATAGAAAGATAAAATGAAACAAGTTAATTGTACTGTTCTGAAATATATATCAGGTGTTGATGGAACATTGGCCATTTTATTATAGAGAGATATGAAGTGATTATGACTGGGGTCATTCATAGCATAATTTTGACAAGAATACGGCCTGATGCTGGTTAGTTAGTTAGAGTCTTTATTTCAAAGGGGTAGTGCGTAATAGTACAAAAGCACTAATAAACTTGTAGCCCTTATGAACTCTAGTGAATAGAGTTCATAAGACTGACATATCCATGCAGCATCATTATTCCTGATATTCAACAAAAGTACGCACTGGGAGGGGGGGGCTCTTAACCTTTGAAACTGAAAGCATAGTGACCCACCCCCTCACCTGCCCAATAATTTCTAACAGCATCATGGGCAGATTTACCGGGGGGGTTCCTAGAATCTCTCTAACCCCTCTTATAAAGTGATCAACCCCACCAAATTTTTGCCTCACCCCTCCTATTTTGTGTGAAGGTCTTTAACCCTAATGCCCAACCCCTGCCGAAGCGCACCCAGTGGTGCCGCTTACACCTCACTAGAAACTTTTCCACTCCTTTAAAAAATATGAAAATCCACCCTTGAACAGCATCTTGATGATACTCGTATACCTGACTCCAGTGGCTGAAAATAGGAGGGGGGGCGATCCCCAATAATTTTAGCTAGCTTTTATTTTGAAAAATGGAACATGCGGGCCACATGCTATACCTGGCCAATAAGGAGCTCCCATAGCCGGATGACATAAAAAATCACACGTCTAGGTGCACTTGCTTGGGTAGTACTACTCGAAACATCAAACATATACACGCTTAGCAGTATTCTCATTAGCAACATCACGACATTACACTTCATAGCAAATCACAGGTATCCTATTTTATATATTTTAAATACAAACAAACAACATTGCTTTCTTCAGTATAAACTGTATAAAATAACAGTCTTAAACAAGCTATTGTCTCTTTAACACTTCATCAATATAATAAGAACAATTCATAAAGGGTATGAACTCATGTTCCTATATATCAAAACTGAAAAATAATAAGATTGCAGGCCATTGCATGATGAATTGAATATAATATCATGATTGTGTGTTTTCGCGCCATTGCGCGCGGTAACCGGAATGTCGCGTGTTTACGCATAGTTTGAATCTGGTTTGAATAAATCAGGGCGCTTATATATAAGCGCCCTGGAATAAATCAAGCACCAAACACCCCATTTAAAAAGCCGTTAACATTCATATCATTTGGGGGAGGGGGGGCAATCACCCCCTCCTGTTGCTTTTTCTACAAGTACATATAAATATTATTGTTACTGTGAACACAAGCTTTTTCGTTTGATTTCAAATTGCTTGTTGTTTAAACAGGGGCCGGGGTTGATGCCTCTCAAAAATAATCTCTTAAAAAAGGCCTTGAATTCAAAAACGTAACTTGCTTAAGCTCACTAATAATAAATAAAGGCATCCAGATCCAGTGTGTCTCAGATCATGTATTTTCCTACTAATAACTCAACTTGTGAGCATAGATGCTCTTGTTCCTGTTCTGCAATAGATGTGCCTTGTAATTTTACTCTTATTAATTACAACTAGATAGCCATGGAAAGGAGGTTAATTAAATATTAACATAAAATTCCACTTGGCAAGTTGGAATTATTGTATGATGTAAATTTACCCATCAAGTACCATTCAACTGACAAGTAACAGTAAATAAAATAACAGTACTCTTCCAGCAACGAGTAAAGTTGTCTGGTGTTATACAATATATAATCACTATAATTATATAACATGATAATTTAATTAATTTTACTATGTTAGATAATGTAAAATCACTATATATAAGACCCTGTTCACATAATACTGGCAGAGTTTAAAAACAGAACAAAATTTTTACATTAGGGGATGCGTTGACACAATGCTGGTATGAAAAAATGTGAAACTGTGACGCAAACCGTAGGAGCTGTTTATCATGTGAACGGTTGCATTAACTGTTCGGAGTACTCCAGATTTTTATAACAGTAATAGAATCGAATCAAAAATGGTTACATGACTGTTGTGACGGTCACACGACTGTTCTGGCTGCCCCTACTCAAAAGTAGAGAACACTCATGTGACCGTTTTTAATTCGATTCTATTACTGTTCTGAAAATTCGGAGTACCCCCAACAGTTAATGGAGCAACAGAATTCCATACCGGTATCATGCGAATGTGGTATAAGTTAACACCATGGCAGTACGCATCAACTAACAAGTAAAATGTAATTAGTTCCCTTGTATTTCACCAAGGATGATAGTTAGTTTACTTATACTGTAATCAATAAAATATTTGAGTACTGTAGAACAATTTTAGAAAATTGTATAGTAACAACCTACAGTACAGTATAATTAGTTGATGGATAAACTCGTTTGGGTGTGCTGGAGTAAAGTACTAAAGTTAAGGATGTATATGGGGCCATGGGCTCATTGCAACTTGGTTTATAACAAGAGGCACATGCAGATTATCACCCTGTAAAATAATATGTATCACCCAGTAAAATAATGTGTTATACAGGAAAACATTTATCGAGGATAGAAGCATGTCATAATTCTTATTCAATGTTACGTACCACTTAGTTTACTGTGGTTGCAAATAATTGCATAAATATAAGAAAAATGAAACTCATCCCAGATTCCAAAGTTAGTGAGCAAATCCTTTTCACTTTTCACAATAGATTTGTTGAATGTTTTTCAAAATGTTACCAATTAATGATGATAAAACGTTTGAACTCTCATCAAATAAAGTGTAGCAGTCACCCGTAGGCTTAGAATCTGCTTCTTTTGCATAACTAAACAGCTCATTAGACAATGTCACATAGCTTTCTTGATCAACAATACGTAATGTTCTTTTTGGATCACACTCACTTTGCTTTTGTTCAGATGATTTATCACAAATGCAACAACATCTTCATTGGGATGACACACAGTAAAAACCAAAGTATTTCATCAATAGTTCTCGCTGATATTCTGTTGTGTTCTTGCAGTACTCAATCATAGATGGGTAAACAAGGCCTTTGTTAAGTTTATCAGCAGAAATATCTGAATTACAAAAAAAAATCCGATGTTGATTCTTGACCACGTCTACCAGCTCTCCCAATCTCGATCTAGCTCTTGCAAGTATGATTCAAGGGTAGAAGGTGGCCCAATGTGAATTACTCTTGTAATACCAGATGCATCAACTCCCATTCCTAAAGCACTTGTAGCAAATATTACTCGAATAGTTGAAGTCTCATTCTTTATTTCCTCAAGGATCTCAGCTTTCATATGATCTGTCTGGGGGGAGTGAAATTGTGCAAAAAGACGGCAACGTGGATGGGCATTTTTACCAACATATTGATCCTCACCAATAATCTCCTCAAACAAGCGATATGCAAAGCCACAGTACTTGAGATTCATGTATATTACAGTCATTTGGTAATTTTTCCTTTGGGACTGAAGTCCAAAAACTATCGGCTTCAAGATTTTTTCATAACTTTCAAAACTATAGCATGTATCCTGACGATATCCTTTGTTCAGAAAAATGTTTTTTTCGGTTAGGGTGAACTTTCACAATTTTGGGACACTCCATGACCAAAATTTCTTTCAACAGGGAGATAGTTTTTGGTGGGGCTGTAGCAGTCAGTGCCAACACTGGTACATCCGAAAAAAATGATCGAACAGCACCCAACTCCATATAATCAACTCTCGGAAATTTGCACACGTAAACAAGAAATATACATCACTGGGCATAATTATCTACAGTATGTGCATATTACGATTATTGCATTGAATAAGTGCCTTACATTGGACAATATTTCCACAATGTCCAGTCCAAATCATTGTGCTTGTACAATAAATACCACACACACATGAAGTTTTTAACCCATTAACTGGACATATGTATTATGTACGCCAGTGTCCTTTGCCTTGGCGAGAAATGTGGTCGGTCTGGCATGCATGAGATTAAAATAGGTGGGGCAAGAGACAGACATTAATAGAAAGTTAAATACTATTATACTAAAGTGATCTGTGATGGGCATCTGAGAGCTTTGGCAGGCTGGCAGCTATAAATGAAACTGTTACACCAGCTAAATGTATATTTTAGGAATCAGCAATTTATATTCGGCATCAGCATCTGAATGTATATTCCAGAATTTCATTTTACAAGGTATGTTTTAGAAAAGAGAAAATGTTAAAAGTGCTGGTAATTACCATATTTTGACGCAGTGAGCTTCATCTATCACCCATGCAGCCACTCGCTTTTGGTATTCATCAGATTTCATAATTTGCCTGCCCTCTTTGCTTAGGATTGCCTCAGTATGACAAAACAATATTTTATATTCACCGTTCAGAATCTTATCCGGGATCTGACACTCGGTTCCAACATCCATGGAATTATTAAATAGAGTAGAAGATTGTGTGTCCATATGTTCGGATATTCTTAGTACATCCGCTGAATTTCCTCTGGACATCAATACATTGATTTGATCTTTCACAATGGAATTCAGGGGACAAACAACCATGACAATATTCTCAAATCCTGCACCTTTTGAGGGAATAAATCCAGCAGAGCATGAAAAATATAAAAGAGTTTCCGTATCCAGTGGGGAAAACAGAGATCACATCTTCCTTCAATAAAAGTAATTCTAAGCAAGAAACTTGCTTTGCTTTTAAATTGAAACTCGGGAAAGTGGCATTGTTCATCACATGGTGAATTCGTTTCAAAACATATATGGAGCTGAATTCTCACCCATGCCGATAGTATATTGAGACATACTGCAAATACATTGACTACATTTTTCTGAGCGTAAAAATTCTTTCAGTATAAGAAAAAAAATCCAAAAATCCGTATTATGTTTCTTGTAAAATATGTGACTTCTCGAAGGTTGATTCCAATTTTATTTTCATTTGCGCATAAATTGTATTTCAGCTCATAATAAAATTGCCCAAATAGAGGGCAATTTTCTTTCACGTGACCGGCCCAGACCAGGGATTTCCTCTCCCCCTCAAAGAAAGCCCTGGGAACGAGGTTGATTGCTCGACTTTCGGAAAGCGTAAAAATACACTCGCCTACGGCTCGTGTATTTTCACGCCTTCCGAAAGTCTCGCAACATCCTGCGTGCATGGATCACCCAATCCTATATGTTCTTCAACAAAAATATCCTTTGGTTGACGTTGAAATAACTTTTGGTTGATATTGGCGGTGAAGATTTAGATTCAGTTGTATGTAAGCCCATTCGAAACACTTTGCGATTTGCAGGGCTTCGCTGAGAGAGAGAAACAGAAGACGCTAATCTTCTTTGGTCGAGTTCGTTACCAAATGAAATAACTGAAATAAATGTTGTACTTTCCGCCGCCAACAAGAATTACACACACGATATGATAAATGAGACAATATTAACAATGGCGACAGATACACACATTCATGCTAATGGGTTCGCACGACTTCCCTCACGATTTGAAGTTTGAGACAGATTTTCTGTTGCAATTCGCCTTAATTTGCCTGTTCCGATTTTAGTTGAAAATGAGCACTTGCAAATTTGGCAGTTACTAACTTTTTTCTTTTGGAATTAAAACGCAGCCATTTTAATAGAAATTGTTTCTATTCTGAATAAGCATTTGCGAGTTTGCGAGTTTGTTTGTCATGCACTATTTGGGTTGTTGCCATTGGTTCTTTTTTGACAATTGACGCGCGAATGGGGCGTGTTATGAAAAGGGGTGTTATTCAAAACACCTGGTCTTCCTTGCAGGCCCACTATTCTTCCCTCGGTGTGCCTGCACGCGGGCTATAAAATCTTTGACCTGCATTTCCAGTAATGTAGTGTATCTTGCTGAGTGTGTGCTTTGTGGTTTGCAAGATGTTGGCTCCACTGCCAATTTTAAGTCCAGACTAGATAACTACAAATCACCCATCAGGCATAAGCGCCGGACATGCAGTATAATTAATCATTTTGTTGATGTGCATGAGGTGGATCATTCGCGCTTAAAATTTATGCTTATTGATCAACACTATAGTCAATTACTTAAGAGTGAAAACTTTTGGATAGGGATGATGTTGATCCACCGGAAAAGTTTTAATGGTAGTCATGATTTGGTCCAACAAGAGTACTATATTAATTTATTCAAAATTTAATGTATAAAAGTACGTCCTGTAATAAAGCTAGGCCGCACTATGGTCACATATTATATATACAGGGTGTATAAAAAAAGCGCAATCCTCGACTGAAATGTAAATTGCTAAACCAATAATAGTCGAAAACGTTAAAGTTTACATTCATTTTAAAGCGTAGCCATTCAGCTTTCTAACAGTGGGTTGTTTCTTAAATTTGACTCATTGGTTCGCGGCTAATAATACTTTACGTTATTGCGATTGGAGATTAAAAAAATTGAGATGGAATAACAAATCGTTCTCATGAAAATAACTGATTTTTTCATTAAAACAAAAAATGTTGTATTTTATTAAATGGATTGTAACAATAAGTATAATTACGGCTTTTTTCCACTATTTTTAACTCAGTTTTAAACTTCAAATGCGATATAATTTTGGCTTGGACCATCTAAGCTGACTGACATCAACTTGCTATAATTTCTGTTTACATTACATCGCAATTCGATGACACTCTGGCTCAGACACCAGAATGTTTTGACGAGTTTTTTAGCATTCGTTTAGGATTTTCAAACAACCTGGTCTCTTTTAAAATACTTTTAATTTGTTCTTACGTGGTTTTCCAGATGTAGTGACGACAACATTAAAGCTTAAAGAAGAAAATTCTAACATTTAAACCGACTAAACAATGACATAGTAAACTTGCATAATTAAACAGCAACTAAAAATGATAGGTTTTGCTAAATCTTTTCCTGTGCATGATTATATTACTAGCATTGGAGACAAGGATAATAGTTTGTTTGAAAGAGAAAAGAACAGGCTTTCAAGTAAGCCTAAAAGCGTTTAACTAGAAATAGTATTTCGAAAGTTATTAAGCACAAAAGATAATAATAATAATATATAAAGACTTATACAGCGCTTAAATTATATAAAATATTCCAAAGCGCTTTACAACAATGAAGTTATACTATATACAAGTAGCTAAAATATTAAGAATTAAGGTATAGGTGTCTATAAATCTAAAAGTTAGAATCGAAAGCTTTCTTAAATTAAAAAGGAAAGTCTTTAATTGAGATTTAAAACAGTCAATTGTTTTACTATTTCTAATACCAGAAGGTAGCATGTTCCAAATTGACGGAGCTGCATGCACAAATGCTCGATCACCAAGAGTCTTGGCTCTAGTTTTTGGGATAAAAAGTAGTCCCTGATCATCAGATCTCAGTTGATAACAACAGTTCGGTTTTTCTAACAACAGTTCCATAATGTAGCCTGGCGCCATCCCGTGGAGAGCTTTATATACCAGAAGTGCAATTTTAAAATCAACGCGAAACTTGACAGGCAGCCAGTGAAGGTGCATCAGGACAGGGGTAATATGAGCACATCTTGGTATAAGACACGTCACTCTAGCAGCGGCATTGAGAACTCGTTGAAGACGCTGAAGTTGGTATTGGGGAATGCCGAACAAGAGAGAATTGCAGTAGTCCAAGTGTGACGTCACAAAGGCATGTACGAGCGTTTTAGTTGATTCGATGGAGAGAAACTTCCTTATTTGTCGGATGTTGTACAAGCCCCTAAATGCTTTGCTGCAAACCTTGCCCACATGGACATTCATCGACATATGTTCGTCAAACCACGAACCTAGATTTCGGACTTCTTGTACAGGTTTTATATCAGCATCACCAACTTCAATCGAGTCGATTGTAACCTTAGACAGCTGCTGGCGAGTTCCAATTATCAAGAATTCCGTTTTAGTGTCATTGAACATTAATTTATGTGAAACTAACCAAGCACGAACTTCGACGATGCAATTATTAATAGTTTGAATAGCTTGGTCTTGGACAACGGGTGACTCAGGACGGAAAGATAAATAAAGTTGAGTGTCATCTGCATACCCATGGGAAGAAGGTAAGTGCCTGTTAATAATCTGGAACAGTTGAGACACGTATAATAGGAAAAGGACCGGTCCAAGACAGCTTCCTTGTGGTACTCCACAGTTCAACGTAAAATTGGCGGAAAACTTTTGCTTAATATTAATACGCTGCTTTCTACAGGAAAGAAACGACTTAATCCACTTTAAGGCATTTCCGATCACACCAAATTCTAACTTCAATATATCCATCAGAATTTCATGATCAATGGTGTCAAAGGCGGCACTCAAATCCAAGAGCACTAAAAGAGTTACTTTCTGTTGGTCCATGTTCATAAGGATATCATTGTGGACTCTTAGGGGAGCTGTTTCGGTAGAGTGAAATTGACGATATGACGATTGGTTGTTAGGAAGAGGAGCATTATCAGCACAATGCCCAAATAACTGGCTAACAACTGCTTTTTCCGTAGCTTTAGAAACGAATGACAGGTTACTGACGGGCCTGAAGTTCTCAAAGACTAGATCAAGACCGTATTTTTTTAGAATTGGAATAAGAATGGCAACTTTCCATGCTTCTGGGACGTGACCTTCACTTAACGACAAGTTGATCATTTTCATAATGACAGGTGTTAACTCACTGGCACATAATTTCAGCAGCCATGTTGGGATAGGATCAAGGTTACATGTTGCATTCGACGACTTCATGATTATGTTATGGACTTCTTCTTCTGACAGGAGCTTAAATGAGTCTAATTTGATATCAGGTAAACGATAATCTACTAATGGTGGGTCTACTACAACGTTTTCAATGCCATTTCTAATTAGCTCAATCTTTCGACAGAAATATTTTCCGAACTCATCAACCAGTTTACGTGAATCATCATGTGGAGGCAAGGAGTTTTCTTGAGGTGTGTTGCAAAGTGAAGACACAACCTTAAAAAGTTTTCTTGAATCTCCCGAGCATTGATCGATAAGATCAGAATAGTATTTATGTCTAGCATTTTTCAAACTGGTAGCATACTTGTTATGCGCTTGGCGATAAGCGTCTTTATCATTTTGGCAATTTGATCGTAGCATTACTTACTCCAGTTTTCTGCGTTTGGCCTTAATACGTTTAAGTTCTTCACTGAACCATGGTACTCTTGGTCTGACAACCACTATCTTTCTTTGTAAAGGGGCATGTTTCTCCAAAATATGTGATAGCGTATTATCATAATGTTTCACCAAATCATCTAGATTGGAGCATGGGTCGTTACACAGTTTGGAATCAGTGATGTCAGCTTTGAAGGCCTGAAGATTCAAATGATTTGTCTTACGAAACTGAATTTCCTTTGTCACAAGCTTCGGGCGAGGAAAAGAGAGGTTGCATTCAACAAAACAATGATCTGACAAAAAGAAAGTAGTCTTGACTAGATGAATATTAATGTCATTGGACGATCTCGAAATTAGAAGATCCAGGGTATGCCCAGACGAGTGAGTTGGTACAGTAACATATTGTAATAAGCCAAAAGTTTCCAATAAATCAGTAAATGTTTTCGCGTCAGTATCAGACGGATCATCGAGATGGAAATTAAAGTCACCGGAGATTACTAATACTTCTGTGCACATAACAATGCTCTCAAGTAAGTTGGAGAATTCTTCGAAGAAAACGCTTGAAGAAACAGGGTGAGTTTGTGAATAAGGTGGACGATAGACTGCTAATGTTTTAATCGTACGGTTGAGTAAAGCCAAGTTCCATTCAGAGTATTCAAAAGATCGTTTTTCACCTCCGTCAATTAAAGTAACTTTAAAATTGGTATTAAACACAATGCCAGTGCCTCCACCCAGAATAGATGGCTACACTCAAAATAGATGGCTACACTCAAAACAAAGGGCGAAAAATTGCATCAGATCAATAAAGCGTAAACAACTATTAAACAGAAGCGGGTGTTTGTACCGGTGTTTGTACGAAGAAAATCACTTGCGAGACTAAAGAATCAGTTGAGTCAGAGCTCTTTTTTTAAACAAGAAAGACGAGGAGATAGCCAACGTGTTATCGCCAATCGCTTGGCTCGCCAACAAGCTCTATGCAATAGAAGAAAAAAGCAAGCCAACGTGTACCGTCACGGACCTTGTTGGCTTGTTTACTGTCTAGCACAACGGTGCAAACTCGTGTTCAATTCAGTGCAACGATAACTGTACCAGATCTTTATACGAGAATAAATTTGTTTCAAAACTGCTTTGATTAAACACTGCTATAAGGCCACTCCAAATTAGACTTTAGTTTCCCGTCCTCCGCCCGCGTCTCCTAGAACTCGCCGCATGATTTGTCCATTATTCCTAACTTGTTTCCATTATTTGACTTTTGTGACAAACAATTACGAAAAACCACAGTTTTCAAATAATTTGAGAAATATATATTTATGATACAACACGTAAAAATCGAAATAAAATTCTTGAAACTTTTATCAAAGAGCGTGAATTTTTTTCCGTTTTCACTACGAACCGCTGAGCTACACACTTCCGTTACAAGTTTTGATCCACACTATCCTTGGATCCCTAGTTAAGTTTTGTCAACGCTTTTCGTTTCACTTTTACAAATAGAAGTTCGTTTTAAGGGCAGTTTGCATTGAGCTCGCATGCTTACATTGTTCACTGACGTCAACTAATTATCTATATTTTAATATCCGTTAACCATATTGCAAATATCCAAAGGCCTAGTGCGGAGTTCGCATGCCTGTTGAGATGCATTATATAATACGTCTATCGGGTACAATAACGCAGCACTACATTCTCGCCAAACTTTACCTGGGACTAGCCTAAACAGGGTTTCCGAGCCGTCGAGTGGGGCTAAGTGAATTAAGTGCGCTTCGAGCTGATCGCTAGTGTATCGCGCAACCTTGGCTAGAAAGGAACAAATATTGTCAGCTGTCGCAGCTGGATCGAGCAGAGCGCGTATGTCCCCCACGTGCGGGCGCAAAACAATCTCCTCGTCACCTAATGCGGGGGGGCGCCTTCATTCTCAAATATCTGCTGTCAGTTTCGTACGCAATAGCTCCCTAGCTGGTTGTGTCTTTTGCTGCGCTGTCGTATCGTCGTGCTGATATCTGCTGATATCTTAGGGAACGTTTCATTAAACTTCAGAAATTTCAAAATCGTGCGGCAAGAATAATTGCTGGCGCAAGTTACGAAATTGAATCTGCTGTTGTTCTTCAAACTCTTGGTTGAAGTCCATTCTTCTGTATAAAATCCTAAATATTGCTCCTAACTTGAAAGAGTCACTGATTGGGAGTAGCTTAACGCATGCGAACTATAACTTAAGAAATAGCTATACTGATTTAGCTCGCCCAAAACCGAGAAGGGAATTCCTAAAAAAAGGTTTTAAATACAGCGGGCCAAAGCTTTGGAATACCCTTTCTCGGGAAGCAAAAGAGGCACAAATCAATCAATGTTTTCAAACAAAATTTTAATCTTTGATTCCGTTACTAATGTTAATGTATGGGTCACGCCTCCTGTATTCAGCATGCACTCTTGTAAATAGTTTTTCTTTGTTTTTACGTATTTTGTTGTAAATACTTCGTACATAAAATGACGACGCCCCTCATGAAAACCAACGTACGTTGATGAGGCTAGCGTCTTGAAATAAATTTTTATGATACGACGACGATACGATTAATCTAGCAAGGGACTCCCTAATCTTAAGGCCCTCGGAATCTTCTAAGGTCTTAAAGTATGTTACTATGGAATGTCGTAATACGTTTGTGGAGACACGGATACTTACTTCTAGGCCGAATAAATCTCCGAGGTACTTGCATAAACTTGAACTATCGCTAAATGGTTTTGTATTGATGCAAATAATAGACTAATTCTCAGTCTTCTGATAGGTCCATATTATGTGGGCCGGTAGAATGAACAGCCTTGAAGTCGTTTTCGATCAAAACACAGTCGTGTCTTCCCTAAACACAATAACGTTTGTGCGGAGAAACGAACTTACGTCAAATGGATTCTCCCCTGACTCAACGAAGTCTTGTAATGTGCATATTTCCTTAGACCTGCTCGGATTAACCGTCGTGTATGTTGCCAGCATAACGAAATCATTAAGATGTCTGGCCTTTCCTACGCCCGTTGTTTCGAAAATCTTAGCTCTTAGATTTCTAAGCGTGACTAAAATATGGTTAAAATAGAATCTCTGCGACGCCTTTTTTATGCACAATCCTTCCTCATTCGAGGTTTGCGATCATTCTAGCTTGCCGCGTCAACTGCCTTTGATAAGATCTACACGACATAAACGCCTTGCAACTATCTAATGCGCTCCAATCTTCGCGAAAGTAATATTTGATGACATTAATAATGCAAGTAAGATGTACTGTAATTGTGTTCGGCATTAGTTTTCTAACTTTTGATAGATAATCACCATATTCACAAATTTGGGTGTTCGTGTTAAAAATATCGAGAGTCACAACTGGTACATTCCTAATGATGCATGCATAAATATAAAAAACAACATATTCTTTCGACTAATTTGTCCAGAGTTTGTTTGGCAAACGGGGCGACCATTCCGTTTTGGGTTTAATTAAATTGTGTAAAACTTACATAGTTCTGTTACTTCACTGTTTACGATTTCGCCAGCCTCTTCTTTGATTAATTTGTGGGGAGCCCTGCATCTTTCCCTGATTGTGGCGTGGAGTCATCGCCGCCGTCTTTGCTCGTACCACGACTGGAAGGCGGCGCAGGAAATTCTGTTGTAAATGAGCTGACAGCAACAACTTTAGACGTCTGCTTTGATGAGGTTGGGGTCGCAGTTTCGACAATCGCCGTATTTTGCGGCGACGAGGAAGCAGCATTGTTGGACGTATTCAGCGTTGGACGTGATAACGTAGCTTTCGGTATTGCAATAGCTCCATCGTCATCTTCTGAACTTTCCCCATCGCTGTAAGCAACTAGTTTGGGTGCGTCACTTGCAAACTTTGGGGGGCAACTTGGACAGTCGATACGGCGGGCGACTTTTCCGCGTGGTTTTTAGTGTGAAGTTTCACTTCACACTGTTGTGATGGCTGGCGAATTCACACGAATCAGTCAGTCATGGAGTAAACTTTCCGGGGGGTGTATACGATTTATGTTCCCAGTGATTTATTGTACTTAATCAGTGCTTTGAAGGTTATTTAAGCAATTTTATTTATTTTCTTTAAATATTCTTTTGTCCTTTTGCCAAGTTCACAAAAATTTCGAGGAATCGTTGTCGTTATTGTAATTTTTTGTAATTTCAGAACATTCGCCTCTCATGTTGTGTAAAGGATCTTTCCCCCCGGAACACCCGATTTTTTCTATAGCAGGGCAAATGCGCATGCGCTATGAAGGCGTAGATACGATGCTAGGAAGGAGCGACAGTGTTGTTTTCAAATGCAGTATTAATTTAAACATTTCAGACGTGAATATTGAGTAAATCTTTGAGAATCTACGCAATATATAAATTTATGTTATGCATGACGGTCTTTCAATCAAGTACTGATATATGTGGACGGTATATTCATTAATATACAAAGCTAGGAAGGAGCGACGTGACAGTGTTGTTTTCAAATGTATAAACATTTCAGACGTAAATATTGAGAAAATCTTTGAGATTCTAGGCATTCAATTGAGTGCCGATATTATTTTCACGGCATACTCGTTATACAGAGGTACAGTATACGTAGGCACAAGCGAGACAGTGTTGTTTTCAAGTATATGAACATTTCAGACATGAATATTGAGAAAATCTTTACCTTTGAGATTCTACGCAATAATACTATTATGTTGTGCATTACCGGTATTCAATTAAGTGCCCATCGATATTATTTAGAACGTGTATTCATTATACATTGTCATTGACTGTATAAGGTGCTACATCACAAAATAGATGGCTACGCTCAGTACAAAGAGCGAAACAACTATTATTAAACAGAAGCGGGTAAACGTTTGTACGGCGTTTACGAAGAAAATAACTTGCGAGTCAGAGCTCCTTAATTAAATAAGAAAGACGAGGAGATAGCCAATGCGTTATCACCAACGTGTTATCGCCAATCGCTTGGCTCGCCAACAAGCTTTATGCAATAGAAAAAAAAAGCAAGGAGGTACATGTAGCCAACGTGTACCGTCACGGGCCTTGTCTTTCTTTACTGTCTAGCACAACGCCGTTGTCAACGGTGTAAACTCTTGTTCAGTGCAACGATAACTCTACCAGATCTTACGAGAATCAATCTGTAGTATTCTGTAAAGAGAAGTGTTCAAAGCTTGTCAAAACTGCTTTAAACACTGCTTAATTGTAAAACTATTGAAATCTAAAGTGACATTATTCAACACATGCGAAAAGCTGAAAATAGACGTGACACTAGGAAAAGTCAAAGGTCAATGAAACTTGTTATTGTGAAGCATGTCACAATTAGGTTAAAATGCGGAAGCGGATAGAGCGGATCCACGGAACGGATATGCGGATAGAATACGGAACGGATGAGAATAAAATGCGTCCTTTTAATGATGTAACGACGTAGTCCTTATTATTCATAACATATCTTACACAGCTATTTCAATTATAGTTTTAGATAAATTTAGCATAGCAGTAGCCTCGTGGGGAGCTTTTAGCGACAGCTGCAAATGCAAATGAAAATTTAGAATATTCAAAATTTGGTTGTTGGCGAAACCATTTAAATTTTGAATTGTCTCGTGTAGCATCGTGTAGCATCACAATAAATAGATGAATTGCATCAGTTTCACAAGGCAAGTTTCTTATGTGTTAGGCTTATTTCAAACGTCACGCTACTCGTGTGCCGAGCGTATTAAAAGCAATAAATAATGAGATGTAAGCCATCAGCTTTTCTAGGCTGTCGGCGACCATATATAGTTCCTGCATTGTCTTTTCAATTCGAAACTTCACACTATCCTTGGATCCCTAGTTCCACTTTCTCGTTCATCAGACGTTTCAAGTCATGCTCTCGAATAAGACCAAACACTGAACTTTTCACTTGAGGATTTGCCTCTTTAAAAACACGCCTTTCGTCATGGGTCGGGTATAGAGTTTCGATTTTAGAGTTTATTAACCACAGCCTAACTCTGCTTCTCGAAACAGTGGGGAAGATTGGAACATGGCCATTTCGGAACACCGCCATCTGATTCGCCACTCCATGGAATTTTCGGATTGTTTGTGTATGCGCACGGAGTATTCGGTCTCAAGACTGTCCGAGTTCAACATAATAAATAATAATAAACAACTTTATTTCAACTTTATTCTATCAAATTACATATTATATTACTATGCTAAAATTATGTTATATATACATTCACTATTCACTAACCAAAAATTTAGTTGATATACTGCAGTTAGCATAGAATAAAATAGAGTAAAATGTACTGGTGAGTAAATTTTACATATTTACACTACACCAAATTTTACATATTTACACCATATGGTATTACTATTACTTTCCCACCTCTCTTCCACTAATTTTGAAAGAGAATTTATTGCTGACCATGATTTTGTACGAAATTCATCATACCTTCCGTACGAAATTCATCATACGAAAGGGTGAAACCGTGGGACGTAAGCTTTTTCGAGTTGTTTTCTTTTATGCCTTCCAAGTTTTCTGAGAAGATATGTACGAGTCTTCGTCCATCGTACGAAGGTCCTTGTCAACTTCCTTTGAAAAACCTCCTTTGCTTCGAATAGCATCTGTGTTGCAGCCCGGATGCACTCTGTTATTATTATTATTATTTAAAATTATTTGAAAACGGTAGCCCTTCAGCGGTAAAGAAAAACTGATTTTCAAGGGGCCGTTTATGAATACATATATTCATTGTTTAGAAATACAAAACACTTACTATCTATTTACAACTATTATAACAAAAGAGAATTATGTTAATTAAGTTATCGATGTATTTCCCTCCAAGTTCTTTTAGTGATGATTTATTAAAGTTTTAAAAGAATAAAAGGAAAGTTGGTCGTATACATCGACAAATTTCAGCTGGAAGATTATTCCAGGATACAGCTCCGCGGTATGAAAAGCTATTTTTCATAAAGTTTGTGTTTGGTTTGTTTAAATAAAGTTTTCGATCATTACTTCTTAATTGATACATGTCATTATGACTGGCGACAAACAGGTCTGGCATGTAGTTAGGCGTTTTACTCTGTCCCGATATGACGTGTCAAAAACGCGTGGTACTCCATGGAATTTTTGGATTGTATATACGCGCAGAGTATTCGGTCTCAAGACTGTCCGAGTTCAACATACGAAGTCTGATGGTTTTGCTCTGAGTTACCAGACTTGACAGTTGCGTGTCTGGCCGTGATAATCTGATCTCGCCAGCGTCGGCGTCCCAGAGATGAAGGGATTGTTTTGGCACTCGTAGTAAGTGGCGTTCGGAATGAGTTGTTGCGGTGAATTTCCACAAGCTGAGTAGGGTTTTGGAGCATGCGCTCTCGGAGGACAAACCATGAACGAAAACGTTCATGAGTGATTCACATCACATGAAAATCAATCAAGGGTTTATTATAAAATCGTCGCGCTCGAAAGAGAATTGCGAAATTATTTACACATTTGCTTAAAACTAACAATATTAAAATGTACCTGGTATTACATGCATTATGTTACAACAATTGTCTCACGAATCTATGAATTAATACAAAAGAATAAATTTACTTTTATATTTACAAAATTTACAAATTACACCACTACACCGTGAAATGCAACAACAATATACAACTAGGGTACCTGCAAGGTAGGGATTGCTGCGGGCATTAAAAGCAAATAGAACTACAGTAAACAGCACAGATTATATCAAGCACAGTGATTACTCGCAGCGACTAGTGAGCTGTGAATGGAACTGAGAAGAAGCAATATATATTGAAGTAGCAAAGACCAGGGGTTAAAGGGCAATCAGAGGTGACAGATATTAAACATGTGCGTCTTTCTCATTGACATACAGGTAAATTAAGATCAGATTTCATATCAAGTCTGTTTACTGCTAGGCGCATTTACCACACTATATAGACTATATACACAGATTTATCACACTAAGAAACCAAAACTTTATAAAAATATAGAACTGACAGTGGCCAAAGTCCAATACAAATGTAAGCGTAACATTAGACATGAAAAAGCTTTAGAAATTCGGTAAAAATCAAAGATTCGAACGAGTTTAAAATGTGTGTTCTGCGCATAGAAATCGCGCACGACCACAATTCCATGCGCTAAATAAAATTTAGTTCAAAACCCCCTCTCTGCGTATATTATGTTGCTGCTACGCTCGCTCGCTTCAGGTTCGCTCGCTCCGCAGCAATTACACAGAAAATAAGGAATTATACAAAAATTAAGAATTGTGTAAAGATTACAATATCTTTTAGCTTTTAAAATGGTTATTTAAAGAAGGCAAGATACCAACGATTCCTTCGGATATTTTTCTCAGTCATGTTTTTATTTTGGTCATGCCAATGGAATGTTCCGTTTAACTCGCCTACGTCCAATTCAGGTTAAAGTGTGAAAACGACTCCCTCATTAGGGAAACTTTCAACCAATCTTTTTCTTCTTTGGCCCCATATCATATTCAAGTCCCACCTATGACACAGCGTTCGTGGATTTACTATTTATATTAAGTACTAAAACAATTAGATAATGACAGGTTATTGAGAAAGCACAGAGAAAACGGCTTCACAGCTGGGAAAAGCCTGGATGGCCCACGATAGTTACTGAATCCTGCTTCACCAACAAATCTGGGATCGTTTTTTCCATACGTTGATGGTATAACGCCAACAATAATATGTACAGGAGCGCTGTGGCAGCTTTTTCTATCCCATTCGAGTATTTTTCGTTCGAATTGATTCCAACGTCCAGAGTTTATCGATCCAAATTGGGGAATCGCATTCGTATATATAAATGTAAATCATTACCTGTGGGTTTATATTGTGCAGCGATACGGTGACCTCTGTGAATACTGATTGTGTGATCGCATGTTTTTTGTTGATTTCCTTGCGTAGCGTGCGTTGCGAGTGGTAGTTATGCTTCTCCACCAATTGTGCTCAACGTAATAATTGGAGTTTGTTGCTTCCTGCTACGAAGCAGGGTACGCGTCTCAAAGCTTGTTCGTAGTCTTTGTCATGTTGCTGAAAATTTATTCCAATTAAATGACTTTGTTTGAAATGTTTGGAATTGCGAGTATATTTAGAAAGATATTCATCACTATTCAAAACGGCCGTTGAAGCTAAAGGTACGGTTTCAACAACCTGGCTGGTAATCGTAAACGATTCTACCTTAGGGATAAACGTTTTTAGATTCCTTCCGGTGAAAGTTCTGAATGTATTAGTCTTGGCGTTCCACTAAATCACATACACCAAAAGGAGAAATATAAATAAACTTGTTCGAAGTTTCCAGGGTGTGGCTTTTGGGTAAATTTTCGGACAAGGTAACTTTGAGACTTTTTTTCAGGCGCGGATCCAGCCTAAAACCGTTCTCTTCGGTAATCACAACATGAGCTTGCCCAAAAATATCTGCTGTCAGTTTCCTACGCAATAGCTCCCTAGCTGGTTGTGTCTTTTGCTGCGCTGTCGTATCGTCGTGCTGATATCTGCTGATATCTTAGGGAATGTTTCATTAAAATTCAGAAATTTCAAAATCGTTCGGCAAGAATAATTGCTCGCTGAAGTTACGAAATTGAATCTGCTGTTGTTCTTGAAACTCTTGGTTGGGAAACTTTTAAAAGTGGAATTCAGAAGATGAAGTCCATTCTTCTGTGTAAAATTCTAAACGATTATACTGCTCCTAACTTGAAAAAGTCAATGATTGGGAGTAGCTTAACGCAAGCGAACTATAACTTGAAAAATAGCTAATACTGATTTAGCTCTCCCAAAACGGAGAAGGGAATTCCTAAAAAAAGATTTTAAATACAGCGGGCCAAAGCTTTGGAATACCCTTTCTCGGGAAGCAAAAGAGGCACAAATCAATCCATGTTTTCAAACAAAATATTAATCTTTGATTCCGTTACTAATGTTAATGTATGGGTCACACCTCCTGTATTCAGCATGCACTCTTGTAAATAGTTTTTCTTTGTTTTTACGTATTTTGTTGTAAATACTTCGTACATAAAATGACGACGCCCCTCATGAAAACCAACGTACGTTGATGAGGCTAGCGTCTTGAAATAAATTTTTACGATACGACGACGATACGATTAATCTAGCAAGGGACTCCCCAATCTTAAGGTCCTCGGAATCTTCTAAGGTCTTAAAGTATGTTACTATGGAATGTCGTAATACGTTTGTGGAGACACGGATACATACTTCTCGGTCGAATAAATCTCCCAGGTGCTTGCATAAACTTGAACTATCCCTAAATGGTTCTCCGGTGTAGTTGAGAAAAAAGTAGGCATGCGACTTAGCTTGCAGAAGACTGGGTCACTGGGCATTAGCTAAATTGTATTGATGCAAATAATAGACTATTTACTGAACAGTCTTGAAGTCGTTTTCGATCAAAACACAGTCGTGCCTTCCCTAAAGACAATAACATTTGTGTGGAGAAACGAACTTACGTCAAATGGATTCTCCCCTGACTCAACGAAGATTTGTAATGTGCGTATTTCCTTAGACCTGCCCGGATTAACCCTCGTGTTTGTTGCCAGCAAACGAAATCATGAAGGTGTCTGGCCTTTGCTACGCCCGTTGTTTCGAAAATCTTAGCTCTTAGATTTCTAAGCGCGTCTAAAATATGGTTAAAATAGAATCTCTGCGACGCCTTTTTCATGTACAATCCTTCCTCATTCGACACATCGAGCTTTGCGATCATTCTAGCTTGCCGCGTCAAATGCCTTTGATAAGATCTACACGACATAAACGCCTTCCAACTATCTAATGCGCTCCAATCTTCGCGAAAGTTATATTTGATGACATTAATAATGCAAGTAAGATGTACTGTAATTGTGTTCGGCATTAGTTTTCTAACTTTTGATAGATAATCAACATATTCACAAATAGCGTGTTCGTGTTAAAAATATCGAGAGTCACAACTGGTACATTCCTATGATAATAATAATAATAATAATAGTTTATTAGGACTCTCTTGCAGTTACAGAAACAACTGAATTAACGAGTACTTTACAATAGATAAGAATATGTTATAAAATAGTACATGAATATGCTTTAGAATCTAGGCTATTTACAAGAGTTAAAATCATTAGGCATTTACCAAAATAGTAAATAGTGCATGCATAATTATTTACAATTTTCATATATATTAAAAAAAAATCTTAACATATTAAGAGTATTTAAATGTAAAAAAGGATTGAGCTTTAATTGTTCTGCAATCAGTAACATTATTAAATAGACGGGGCGACCATTCCGTTTTGGGTTTAACTAGTTTACCCACAGGATTGTGAATGCTGCCTTGGTATAGCATTGTTCCCGAATCTTTAATATTTTAAAGAATAAGAGTAAGAAATATTTGTAGTGAATTGGAATCATCCATAAGTTATACATCAACACTTTCAAAAACGTACCTTTGAATTAGACCAGGAGTTAAAGGGCAATGACAATGACATGCAGGTAACATTTAACATGTGCAGTGTTCGTCTCACTAAATTTGCGTGTTTAATAATGTTTATCAAAGAAGGCAAAAATATATACAAGACAACTTCACATGTAGAATCTGTTCACTTACGCACTGCCTTGTGATGCAGTACAAGTATAAATACAAATGACAAAGCATTTTTAAATCCTAAAACATAATTAAATCATACGCCACATCAGTCAAGATTTTAATACACGACTATTAACCACAGTTTTTAGTTTTTATTTCGGCCGCGTTTCAGTACTGCTTGACGCGCATTCGCCGCGTTATATTTATTTATATACCTTTGTTATATACACAGATTTATTATTAATAAATCAACACTACTGTATATGATAATATAGAACACACAAAGTGCAGTCACCTTTTTATAAGGGCGCTTTCTATTTAATGGCTTGGCTGGTCAGACCCGAATTCTTTTTTCTGTATCAATGGAAAGATCTGGTCCATGTTTCTCAAATATCTAGCGAAAATGGACGTCATTCTAATGTTATCTAAATTTTCCGGTCAGATAGGTCCGAAGGCCAAATGTTTTGTTTTCCATTCAACAATTTGACCGGTCTGGCCGTGTTAATGGAAAGCGCCCTAAATAAACATTTTTAAAAAGCATGTCATTGACTCATTGTCATTGCAGACCAGAGGCAAAAAGTACAGCCACATACCAAATTTGAACCGAACTTTCCCCATCGCTGTAAGCAACTAGTTTGGGTGGGTCACTTGCAAACTTTGGGGGGCAAGTTCGACAGTCGATACGGCGGGCGACTTTTGCACGTGGTTTTTCCACTTTCTCATTCATCAGACGTTTCAAGTCATGCTCTCGAATAAGACCAAACACTGAACTTTTCAATTTAGGGTTTGCATCTTTAAAAACACGCCTTTTGTCACGGGTCGGGTGTAGCGTTTCGATTTTAGAGTTTCTTAACCACAGCTGCTTCTCGAAACAGTGGGGAAGATTGGAACATGGCCATTTCGGAACACCGCCATCTGATTCGCCACTCCATGGAATTTTCGGATTGTTTGTGTATACGCACGGAGCATTCGGTCTCAAGACTGTCTGAGTTCAACATACGACGTCTGATTTGTATTACTATTACCTTCTCACCTCTCATTCACTAATTTTGAAAGAGAATCTATTACTGACCATGATTTTGTACGAAATTCATTCGTACCTTCCGTACGAAATCATACGAAAGGGTGAAACCGTGGGACGCAAGCTTTTCCGCAAAGTTTACTTTTATGCCCTCCAAGTTTTCTGAGAAGATATTTACGAGTCTTCGTCCATCGTGCGAAGATCCTTGTCAACTTGTAGAAAAACCTCCTTCGCTTCGAATAGCATCTGTGTTGCAGCGCGGATGCACTCTGTTATTATTATTATTATTATTTAAAATTATTTGAAAACGGTAGCCCTTCAGCGGTAAAGAAAAACTGATTTTCAAGGGGCCGTTTATGAATACATATATACATTGGTTAGAAATACAAAACACTTACTATCTTTTTACAGCTATTATAACAAAAGAGAATTATGTTAATTAAGTTATCGATGTATTTCCCTCCAAGTTCTTGTAGTGATGATTTATTAAAGTTTTAAAAGAATAAAAAGAAAGTTGGTCGTATACATCGACAATTTCAGCTGGAAGACTATTCCAGGATACAGCTCCGCGGTATGAAAAGCTATTTTTCATAAAGTTTGTGTTTGGTTTGTTTAAAAAAAGTTTTCGATCATTACTTCTTAATTGATACATGTCATGACTGGCGACAAACAGGTCTGGCATGCGTTTTACTCTGTCCCGATATGACGTGTCAAAAACGCGTGGTACTCCATGGAATTTTTGGATTGTATATACGCGCAGAGTATTCGGTCTCAAGACTGTCCGAGTTCAACATACGACGTCTGATGGTTTTGATCTGGGTTGCCAAACTTGCCAGCTGCGTGTCTGGCCGTGATAATCTGATCTCGCCAGCGTCGGCGTCCCAGAGATGAAGGGATTGTTTTGGCACTCGTAGTAAGTGGCGTTCGGAATGAGTTGTTGCGGTGAATTTCCACAAGCTGAGTAGGGTCTTGGAGCATGCGCTCTCGGAGGACAAACCATAAACGAAAACGTTCACGAGTGATTCACATCACATGAAAATCAATCACGGGTTTATTATAAAATCGTCGCGCTCGAAAGAAAATTGCGAAATTATTTACACATTTGCTTAAAACTATCAATATTAAAATGTACCTGGTATTACATGCATTATGTTACAACAATTGTTTCACGAATCTATGAATTAATACAAAAGAATAAATTTACTTTTATATTTACAAAATTTACAAATTATGCGATCGAAGACGCATTGCGGGAAAAAAGCTTTTCGTCGGAAAAAGCTTATCGTATTTTACGAATCTGCCACGTCATCTACCACTACACCGTGAAATGCAACAACAATATACAATTACACAGAAAATAAGGAATTATACACAAATTAAGAATTGTGTAAAGATTACAATATCTTTTAGCTTTTAAAATGGTTATTTAAAGAAGGCAAGATACCAACGATTCCTTCGGATATTTTTCTCAGTCATGTTTTTATTTTGGTCATCCCAATGGAATGTTCCGTTTCACTCGCCTACGTCCAATTCAGGTTAAAGTGTGAAAACGACTCTTCATTAGGGAAACTTTCAACCAATCTTTTTCTCCTTTGGCCCATATCATATTGAAGTCCCACCTTTGACACAGCCTTCGTGGATTTACTATTTATATTAAGTGCTAAAACAATTGGATAATGACAGGTTATTGAGAAAGCACAGAGAAAACGGCTTGAAAGTATACGTCATTAAAAGTTCGTTTGTATCATTTAGTTGTGTCGACATTTTCAATTGAATTGAAATTACACTGGCGAGACGTCAAGAGCCAACGCTCGCAACCCATTTTGTACGCTGTGCATTCAAATAGCTTCTATCCATGTCATGATAGTTTTCTTTTATTCTACATTCTGACAAAATGTTTCTCGTTTGTGCATTTTGCCTCTTCTGGGAAAAGCTCCACATAGCCCGCCTGCAGAGCAAGAAACAACTCACTCAACTTAAGGGGTAGCTTCACCCCAATTTTTACTCTAAATTAACAACTCTTTAACAGTCGATATTTGGCAAGTTTTTGATTGAAATATGGTCAACCTATATATTTTTAGAAACTACAGAACTTCAGCTACAATCTGAGATAAAAAAATTTCCAGTTCGATACATCGAACTGAAATTTGACACCAAAGAAGGGCGTAGTGTATGGAAAGTTAGATTTTTGAGGGCCCAGTTGCCCCCCCCATAAAATTTTCTTTAATATGTTATGTATTCAAGTGAAATTGCACCTTGTGGTAGTATAGATGTTGAACTATGGTCCTATTAGCCATTTTTTTGTTATTCACCACGGTTGCCATGGTAACGGCAAAACCATATTGGAAACAATCTTTTTCACATAAATCTTTATAGAAAATAGATATTTAAAAAATGGGTAATAGGACCATACTAGATACATTTAGCTACATATGTGCCAAAAATGGGCCAATTTCATTGAAACAGTAATGAGAAAAGGTGGGGGGCAGTTCACGTGCGGCCAAAAATCAGTTTTCGAGAAAAATACTGTTAAAGTTTCGGTTTCATACTAACTTGTTCTTTCTATGTTACTCAGTCAGTTTTAGGTTCTATTTCTTTCTTGTAAGTTTGCTTTTTCCCTTTTTACCAGTTTCCTTGCCAGTCTGCCTCTTCCTTTTTCTTGAACCCTGGATATTATCCTCATTAAATGCTGCGCTCTCATATGTTATGCCTTCCCGAGCTTTCAGTCTTGCCTCCTCCACCAATTTAGCCTGTCGTATTTTCTGCCTTGCTTCCTTGAATCTCTTTTGTGCTCTTGTATTTGCTTGCTTTACTCTTTTGTTGTTCTTCCTCTCACTCCCAGCTTCAGTAAAACAGCCAGCAGGAATCTCCATTTCTCTCATTACATCATGCCGGGCAGTCGCACCAACGTTAAATTGCATTACTGCGGATGCTGCAGCTGTCTCCACAGAACTGAGCCCTCTATTGCGGTGTTTTGGACATCTGTTCCATACTAGAGAATTGACTGATTCATTTGCATTCTGTGACAACCCTGGTAAACATCTCTTCAACAGCTTTGTATCACTGAGCCGATCAAAGAGTGGGGTAAGGAACTCGAGAAAGACAGGATCAAGATGGTGTGGTTTGTTTTCAAAAGCAGGATCAGATCCATTCGCTTTGTCTCTTTGGTAGGAACACCATGAGCTTTTTCCTTGAAGGCAGTACTGATGTCTCTTTTTACCATCAACAATCTTGACACTGTGGTACAATACTCCTTTGATGGCACCCTGCATCCGTTTCACTGCTTTGTCAATTTCTTGGCTTGTTTTAGCTTTTTTGTCAACAGAGGATCTGATAGCATTCCCATAGTATTTCTGCAGCTTGTCAATTGTTGGCCTAGTGAGTCTCCCAGCTTTGCCTCCAACAGTTTTTCCATCGGCAAGCTTTGTTTTCCCTGTCAGTGCAATTAGATTCTTTCCCATCCGCTTCTGGACGTGTCCAACACAATCAAGCTTGTTTACTCGACTACACTTTGTTTTACCATTGTGGTGATCATTTTCCCATGTAGCATAATTCTTTGATTTCAACCAATTTTTATATTCTAGTGATTGTTTGTCCATATTCTCATATTTTGCACAAGTTTTGCAAACTCCATATGTGTCCCATACTTCTCCATATGCTTTGCTGTCGCCATCGCATACCATATCAATGTATCTAAATTGATGTTTTTCAACCGATCTGTTCCACAAGATTTTGGCTGCTTCCTTCTCCATTGCAGGACTAGAGCCACCAAAATTTTTTTGACACAGTCCACTTGCCACATGTTCATTTTTCCATTGTTCATACTTTACCGGGTTGGATTTGAGCTTCTCAGCAGCTTTGCAAACTTCACAAACTTTTGATAGAACAACATAATCCAACACCTCCCCTGTGTCTGCAGAGATAACAATTCCTACCCCATAATTAGCTGTAAATCCTCGCTTGCTCCATGTGCCATCAAATGACACAGCAATGTCAAGTAATTCTGTTCCATCCTTGTCTAAGCTTGCTCTTACACGGTGACCAGCTTCACTCAACTTTTCATCCAAAACTTTCTTTGATGCGAGATTCACAGATCGATTGTGCTTTTGGTAAGCACTATCACTCACAGGAGGTGGCATGTTCAAAATCTCACAAATGGTTGCGAGAGCTTCTCTGCCTAAACCCAACTCACCCATGGCAAAATTGGTTCTCCGATTGACATCAAATGAACGTCCCTTTCCCTCAACAGTCTTTGATGTATCCATGTCAACCCTCTGCTTACATTCTGTGCACTCAAAATAATATGTACTGCTCAATCCAGCCCGTTTAGAAGTGTCCTCACAAGATACAATCTTTCCATTTTTACACTTGTGCATGCTTTCTACAGTTTTGCGAATGTTTTCAATAAAAACAACACGATAACCTTCCTGTTCTGGCAAATTAGTAAAGGAGTTTCTTGTGTGTACTTTGACTTTAAATTCTGGAGTTTGAGGCTCTTGTATAAACGTTTTTGTTTTGCTAGCATTCTCCAGTTTCCTTGCCGATGTTGATATTATATCGTTTTGTTCTTCATCGCCATCTACAATCTCATAAGCACGATTTTCCTTCACAACGTGGTCGCCATCTTCGCACATAGCAGAAAATCTTTTCCCTTTAAAATAGGGTTTTTTCTGCGATTTTCTTTTAGCACTACGCTTTATTCCTTCCTTTGAACCCTTTGGCATTATTACAAATGGAAACAGAAGCAAAATATAGAAAAAAATATGCGAATTTCAATAGAATATTCTCTCGATTTTCTCGTGCTCTTGAAAGTTGATTATGTAAATTTGTGATTATGCAATATTTAGCATGCCCCTAAGTGCCCCTTTTATCCATAGTACACCCTCTTGGTATAGTAGCCTAAAAATACATTTTCACATTTTCACGCAAGTACAACAGCGTTTTTAAAGCGATTTTTGCAATCCGTTTCCATGGTTACTAGGTATAAACAATTAAAGATTTTTCAGGGCCTTTTCTAAAACGGCCAATTTTTCATATAAAACCTATTCTAATGTAAAAAAAACTTTAGCAACTGATAAACAACATGTTTAGGTACCCTATAATGGTGTTTTTGCAATTTTGACTTTTTCATTCTAATCAACTAAATTTTTGGGTGAAGCTAACAGACCTTACTAGTTTACGACCGGGTCTAATCAGAGAATAGAATGCAATATTCTCAGTAAATGATTGTATATGACAGCATGCAGCTGAATCCTCTATAGGGCCGCTTCACAGCTGGGAAAAGCCTGGATGGCCCACGATAGTTACTGAATCCTGCTTCACCAACAAATCTTGGATCGTTTTTTCCATACGTTGATGGTATAACGCCAACAATAATATGTACAGGAGCGCTGTGGCAGTTTTTTCCTGCCCATTCGAGTATTTTTCGTTCGAATTGATTCCAACGTCCAGAGTTTATCGATACAAATTGGGGAATCGCATTCGTATATACAAATGTAAATCTGTTATTATTATTATTTAATCTTATTTAATCACGGTAGCCTTTCAGAAGTACATCTGTTTTTCAAAGGGCCGTGAGTTCATTAAAATATTTACATAATTGGAGAGAAAAAAAAAGAAAAGGAAATCTAAAAGCGAGAAAAACAGGCCATTTACATAAACTATTTACATGGATGCAATTAATTACACTATAGATTAGGACCAATGGATTAGGACATACGTTTTATGACATTCTTAAAGGAGTTGACAGAGACATCTTCTATTAATGCTTGATCAATAATATGATTAGGTAAGTTATTCCAACTCATAGCTCCTCGATAGGGAAAGCTATTTTTTAAAAAATTTGTCGTTGGCTTAGGTAGGTAAATATTTCTATTGTTCCTACGTAATTGATAGTTGCCGTTTTCGTTCAAGTTAATTGTCTGCATTAGGTAGTCGGGCACTAGACCTTTAAGGGCCTTTAAGTAGCATTACAAGGTCGCGCTCGTCTAAGTTGTCTTTTATAGGTCTCCAGTTTAAGGTTTCAAAAATGTTAGTAGAGAGTTTGAGCAAGACAACGAAGTACGAAGACGAAAACGTACCTGACAAGTTTTCGACGTCTGCGCATTATTTCGCGCATACTGCGGTTGGTGCCAGCGGTTGCTTTTCGACGTCTTCGTTGCACAGCCTTCGTTGAGAACGAAGAATTTTACAAAGTTCGTTGTGGTGACAACGAAGAAGTTTGAAAGGTAAAATCTGTACTTTTTTGTTTCATAATCTTCAAATATGTGATAGGCTAGCTTTTATGTACATGATTTAGTAAATTATTGAAGCTTTTATGCGATGAATATAAGAATATTAATATCGCGAAATGTTGGATGTTTTGCTATATCGTGGACCTGATTTGAATTACAAATATATACTGTAAAGTTTTGTTGTTTTTATCTGATTGACTTTGGCTATGCTCACGCTGTATTCAAAACAACTTTTCCTTTTCATAGTTGTGTGTTTATATTACCTGGTATTACAGTATAAGACAATACAATTGTTGCTTATAGATACTTTTGTTGAAATATTTATGTAGATTGAAGGGTTGAATTTAATGTTTTGATTTAAAAATTGAATGTTACACCTAACTATATTGAGTTGAAACTTGTCCCCCCAGTCACATGCTCTGGGGAATCTAACTTACATATAATGGGAAATACTCAAATAATTGGAAGAGTTAAAAAAATAATATGTACAGTATGGACACAAAATTGATGATGTCAATGACTAAAATGGCTAAGTAATCTATAGGGATTTTTGGCGAAGGAAAATTTCGAGTGAGGAATACATACATTCTAAGACCAAACTAGGACCAGTTGCAAAAAATGCAACTACATAGGCTTTTTGGCAGGAATTGAACTCACAAACTTGCAATTCTAGTGCAATGCTCTGATCACTGAGTGTGTTGCAGAGCTTGATCGATTGCGAGTTCTCTATATATTAAGATGGCAATGCCAGGAGAGAATTGGGCATATTTAATATAAGTATATTTAATCTATTAATGTTTCCATTTTGCATGTTTCAAGATTGAATATAATTATACTATTTTAGATGAGTATTCGCAAAGAAGTGTTTGTTTGGAGAAAACATCATAAGGTTGCTTTGCTAAGAGAAATTTTGGTGGTGGAGCCATATGTCCACAAAGTTGGAAGTAAAGAGAGGGGCAATGCTTGGACCTTGATTGCCAAAGTAAAAGCTTTTAAAACTACAAAGTTTATGGGGGGGGGGGGTGCCAAAGGGGGCAATTTGCCCAGGGCCCACAGTTAAAGGGGGCCCCCAAATTTGCCAAGGGGGGTGGGGCAAAAAATGTAATTAAAAAAATAATTTGGAACGTTTTTTATATAAGTCATGGTATAAGAGAAATCTTTTAGACCTTAATTTTGCTGGTATTTGTGCAGAAAATTTTTTTGAACTTTAATTTTACTCATATTTCTACGGAAAAATTTTTTTGAACTTTTTTTGGATATGTCTGGGAAAAATTTTTACTTTCCCTAAATAGGGGCCCTGAATTAAAAATTTGCCCCGGCCGCTGAATTTCTCTGTGCGGCCCTGAGTGCTAGCTATATATCGTTATACACTCAAAATTCTAACAGTAACTGCTTTTAAAACTACATGAAATTTATGAATATGCAAATGTCAAATGCTACATATATTGTTACTTAATTGTATTACCAGTTCAATGTTTGTTTAATACTCTTGGCCTAATATACAAATGCTATATATTGTTACTTAATTGTATTACCAGTTCAACGTCTATGACTCCAATTGTATTACCAGTTCAACGTCTGTCTGTCTTGGCCTAATATACAAACGCTATATATTGTTACTTAATTTTATTACCAGTTCAACGTCTATGACTCCAATTGTATTACCAGTTCAACGTCTGTCTCTCTTGGCCTAATATACAAATGCTATATATATTGTTACTTAATTGTATAACCTCACTGTAAATTTCCAAATGAATCAACTGTAAAAGTGATCACCAAAAACGGTTGACGGAATAACTTTTTTTGAGTTGATTCAATTCTTTGAAATTTCAAGTGTAAACGTGTACGTGCTTTGGTCGCTAAGGTTAGTTTTGGGGTTCCAAGTAATAGCATTAAGTTCTTTATAAACTTAAATAGCACTGAGCATGGGTTTAAGGTATCCATCAGAAGTGTTAGAGAAAAGTTTAGTAAACTATATGAAGAATGGCTAAGGATTTTGTGCTTTCAACTCGTCTTATTTGCTCGCCTGCGATTGATATGTTTGTAGTATTTGTGCCAAAAGAATTTAATTTTTGTCGTGAGCCAATAATCATGTATTCAGTTTTTTTACGGTTTAAAGTCAGCTTGTTTGCGGTTAATTTAACCATGTGTGAATTATTTCTAAATCGTGATTCAGTTTACTCTCTATATCTGCGGATGATAGTCCGTTACATGATAGGCTTGTATCATCCACAAACATTGTGGCGCTTCTTGTTACAAGGCAATTTGGCAGATCATTTATATAAAGGAGAAATAGTAACGGGCCTAGATTTGTCCCTTGAGGAACTCCGCAGGTAATTGTTCTTATATCCGACATTTTTTTGTTAATTTTACATATTTGCTGCCTCTTCCTTAAATATGACTGAAACCATTTGTGTGCTGTACCCTTTATTCCATAAGCTGTCAATTTAGAGAAAAGAATATTGTGGTCCACCGTATCGAATGCTTTTTTTAGGTCTAAGAATAGTACACCATTAATGAGACCTTGGTCCATGTTTATTAACCATTCATTTGTTAAGCTCAGTAGTGCAGTTTCAGTTGAATGGAGTGATCGAAACCCTGACTGGTTTGGTGATATGATACAGTTTTCGTTTAAATAATCAAGTATTTGTGTATAGACAATTTTCTCGAAAATCTTTGCAATTGTTGAAATTACTGAAATAGGTCGATAGTTTCCACAGTCTAATTTTTCACCTGATTTATAGATAGGGGTAACCTTGGCGACTTTCCAATCTTCTGGAAAAATTCCAGTACTTAACGATAGGTTGAATAGATGATTTAGGGATGGTATTATGCTGTCGCCAGCTTCCTTGACCAATTTTGTAGATACGTTATCAAGACCTGGTGACTTGTTAGTTTTGAGGTTCTTAACCACTTTTATTAGCTCATCATAGGTTATGGCATGAAATTCAAATGTGGGTTTATATTGTGCAGCGATAAGGTGACCTCTGTGAATACTGATTGTGCGATCACATGTTTTTGTTGATTTCCTTGCGTAGGGTGCGTCGCGAGTGGTAGTTATGCTTCTCCACCAATTGTGCTCAACGTAATAATTGGAGTTTGTTGCTTCCTGCTACGAAGCAGGGTACGCGTCTCAAAGCTTGTTCGTAGTCTTTGTCATGTTGCTGAAAATTTATTCCAATTAAATGACTTTGTTTGAAATGTTTGGAACTGGGAGTATATTTAGAAAGGTATTCATCACTATTCAAAACGGCCGTTGAAGCTAAAGGTACGCGGTTTACACAATCATATAAAAAGCCAATGCTGCCCGAATCACAAATTTTAGCAACCTGGCTGGTAATGGCAAACGATTCTACCTTAGTGTAAACGTTTTTAGATTCCCTCCAGTGAAAGTTCCAAATGTATTAGTCTTGGCATTTCATAGCAATGAAGTTACACACTTTTGCCTATACACTGAACATAAATTACCGAAAAATGAATTAAATCGAAATAAATCCATCAATATATTACATTAGTCATCGCCGTAATCAAAATAATCAATCATTTGTAGCGCCTTGATGGTTAGGAAATTTGAGGTAAAAATCATCAATGGCCATTCTCATGATTGAAAGAACAATTATAGCAGACTTTGCAACAACTTCTGCCTCTGGACAAAAAGTTCCTACAAGATTTAACACCGTTGTTTCAACATCAAGACTCAACGCACTGATGCACGACACTTCATAGCTTGACCATGCATACCCGGGCAGATTTGGCGAATAAACAGGCATCAGTCACGCCGGGTCAGCAAGATCGAAAATCATGCCATCGAGTTGGACTTTGGAAAACAGTTATTGGTTCCTGATTTTATTAAAATTTAACTTGCTAAGTTCATCTATGTCTTGTTTGATGAAATAAATGTCAAAAGCAAGTCCCACCCCGGGAATGTCTCCAAGCAACTTCCCGACTCCTTTCTCCGTGAACCTTTCAATCTTTCTTGCCAACATTTTGGCGACATACTGATCAAATGTCTTCCGATTTTCTTTGTGAGCTCGTTGAGACAGGTTACACTTCCAAGTGTATGAGCAGATTGTGCCAACGAAAAACCGCTCTGGACGTGGTCACCAATCGAAAAAGAGTTTATCGTTGAAAACACTGAAAATATCAAACCATGAACAGCCAGCTCTTTGTTTATTTTGACACTGGCCTTGGTTGCTCCCTCAGCACGTGATTTCTAATGTGTTCTTTTATGAGTGTGGGCATGACCAGTTCGATAGAATTCAGTGAAACTTCTACATGACTTCTTTTCGTGGCATGTTGGGTATCAACTGCATCAAACTCAATGTTGCCGTCTTTGAATTCAACGAAATTTTCGTCGACGGTTTTTGGCGTTCAGAAAACAAGAAAGACGTGTTTTTAATCGCGTGCTGCTTGCTGGTGACGCCGCTGTCTTTTTCTCGTTGGAAATTCGGATTTGCTGAAAACATCGCCAAATTTCTTTTCTTCCATCACATCGTGAAGATTATTAAGTTTACCGGACTTCGGCCTGCCTTTCCTTTAAAATTTGCAAGGTTCTTTTTTCAGTGATCGAAGTTGTTATCACATACGCTTTTGAACATGACCAACACATTCAAGTTTGGATACCTTAATATCGTTATATACATCTTTTTCGGTTACCGTATTGAAAAAGTAGAACAGTTTCTTTTCAAGACAGCTTTTACATCAGAGCTGCAAATGTGTGGAACACGCTTCGCTGCTTCATAAGAAATACCACCACATCTCCAACTACATTTAAATTTATTCCAGTCATTTGTAATTAGTACTCTATAGATATATTGCAGTGGCAAACTTGTAAAATAAAATAAACAGACAAACAAACAAACACACACACACACACAATGCCAATTACAGTGGGTCCTTTGTTAGATTACAACATAATATATACATCACCGTTCACCTGATTCAGCAGCATCAAAATACCAAGTTACTCGCCATATTCCTCTAATTAGTGTTACCAATTTCGTATCAAATAAAACAGAAAGCTTGTGTGACTTAGTGAATTTATCTTTTCTGCTCCAGTCCTTTTCGCCAAGCGATAAAGACACAAAAAGTCCAAGGTGTAGCAAAACAAACACCATCTTTTCTAAGTCCTGTTTTTAGCTTCGAATTCATTGATTTTCACAAATATGAAAACTGATTTTCATACAATTGTGTTCTCGTCTTCTCGTTTCTCTTATGAGTTTGAGCATGGCCAGTTCGAAAGAATTCAATGAAATTTTTACACGACTTCTTTTCGTGGCATGTCGTGCATCAAAGATCAAGCTCGATGTTGCCATCTTTGAATTCAATGGAATTTTCTCGACGGTTTTTTGTCGTTAAGAAATAAAGAATCAGTTTTTTAGACATGTTTTTGATCGCGTGCAGCTTGCTGGCTACGCCGCTGTTTTTATTCTTTCTCTGAGAGTCGTTTTATCGTGCTCTAAAGCTACAAGTTTCCGTAAAGTAAAACCTGCGACAAGTGTATCTTGCTTCCTGAGAAATAAAAAAGGACAAATGTTTGTTCCTCCTTTTTTGTCGTTGGAAATTCGGATTTGCTGAAAACATTGCCAAATTTCTTTCCTTCCATCACATCGTGAAGATTAAGTTTAACAAATTTGTCCATTCCTGGACTTCGGCCTGTCTTTCCTTTAAAATTTGCAAGCTTTGGAAAAGAATCATCTTGCGGGAATTTGTTGGTTTGGCAGATTGTTTTCGCCAGATCTTTCACAATTGAACGCTTAAACTGGTTTGTTGGTTGCGCACCTTCTGCTGTTAGCGTGACCAGCATAAACTCCACCATGGCTCGAATGCTGTCTTTTCGGAGGAAGTCTTCAATGTGAGGTTCATTTGAAATATCATTCAGCGCAAAACGCAAGTTCATTTGGTAAACGAAAATGTGGTTATTTCAAATAACCGAAGCAGATATTTTGGTTATATGATATAATAAAACTAGAAATACATGCATGCAACAACGCCTCGCCTATATTTTCCAAACATTGTTTCAACATGAAGTATTCGTAATTACGCCAACACTGAACGGAGGGTCGCGTTGCTGACGTCATATTAGCCCTGGCAACACAATCTCACAATAATTGTTTTTCAATTTGTATGTACAAAAGTACAAAACTGCAAAAAATAAATGAAACTTGAACACTTTTAAACAGAACTATCAATTTCTAAAATATATAAAGTAGGTATATTATTTTGCTTTCTATAGGCTCCATTTTAATTTAAAATGCAGCACGAAACTCTTTTCGTAGAAGCTTTTTAAATGTAAATTGAAATTAACTGCTTTTTTGCCGATAAACTCTTCAATTCGAGCTTTCAACTCATTACTCGCACTTTGAAATTAAATAAATTTAATTCATACCGGACGCTAATGAAAATAATTTGTTTTCCTTTTTGTCATGAACTTCTACAAAAGTTAATTTTAACTAAGAAACTTTCGCATACAATGCATAGGAAGTAGCCGCTCCGTACTTATCTGTGGTCTTGTAGTCAGTTTGAAACACAATGATAGAACGTTCAAGGTGATATTAATAAAGTTCTTTCCGTATACTTATACCGTGTACGAAATCAATAAAGTTCTTTCCGTATATTATTTATTCAACTCACCCTGCCGTCCCTCGTCATGTAAGTATAACGGTCACGAATAAAGACATCGAACCTGTTGAGCACAAACGGCCACGAATAAAGAAATGATGAAAAAATCATGCAGGTGTCGAACCTGTTGAGGACATGAACATTCTTCGAACTTGCAACGCAAGCTTTTTAGTGCGTCCAAGATGTTAGCGTGGTAAAACGTACGCGCTTGCTTTGACATACCTTCTTTACATTTTTCAGACAAGAGTCGGTTCTCTTGCTCAAGTTGACTTTGTAAGCGCCGTGGAAATATTATCTCTGGCAAAGTGCTGTGATCGACGCTATTTCTACCATAATTACGTTTTACGATGTCGATAAGAACACTTATTATTCTACTTAATGTGGAAGGTTTTAAATTCCGATTGTCCTCTAAGAAGGTGATATACTCTAGAACTAAATCTGTGTCGTTACACAAGCGAAGTTTTAGCTGTTTCGCAGATTTGTACACATAACGAACGTAACAAAGAAAGCAGTGGAACCTTTGAAGTTGCGAATTGTACGCCATCACGATTTGGATTTAAATGTTTTCTGAAAAACTCGATCAATTTGTTTTACCTCTGCTTTCAATGCATGCGACTTGTCACTATCTTCCAAACGATATGTAGATCCCCTCTTTGATATGGTTTTCCCATAACATGTACGGACTGCGGAGATTGGAGATGTGTCTTTAACATCTAACAAGCAAACAATTAATATTAAGGCAAGCTGTCGAAGCTCAAGAGTATAATGGAAATTTATTTATTTATTTAAATAAATAAACTCCCATTATTCTCTTCAGCTTTGACAGCATTCTCTTCAAGAAAAGAACTATGCATCTTATCTTATCCTTTGGGTATTGGAATGTAGGAAATTGTAAATAAGGTATACCCATCATGCTGTTGCGGACAAGGATAATTGGAATATGCCGAGATATTTACATTAGAAAAATTGAGTCGTTTCGATCTGCTGCATTTCGTTGAGTCGTTTCGATCTGCTCCTTTTCCAGCATAAGGATGGTTAAAATAAATGTTTACCGCATTTGTTATTCCTATCTCTTAAAGTAAAGAATTTCCTTTTCGTTTTCACATTTCCAAACTGGAATCAAAGTTATCTATATAGCTAGAAGCCAGCTGCATTTCGTCAGTCGTTTCCCAGTGAAAAACTCAATTTATCCAAATTTCACGAGAAACCATGCTATTAATTAATAATTTACATAAATTTGTAGTTTCAACTTACGTTTACAGCGGAACATTCCACTGGCAAAGTTTTCCTGGCTTTATTATATCACATTATACAACGCTAACAGCTTGAAAATTCCACTCAACAGTGTAAGTTTTGTTAGTCTTGTTTAAGGTAAAGGCTTTTCCATTTAAAA